GTTGATTCTATGATTCTATAATTCTAGGGAGTTGGGGTCACTTTTAGCAGCACTGGCTGGGAAGGCTGTTAACCTCAGCCACTGTAGAGCCACTTTGTGTCTCATCATTGGATTTATAAAGTCAGAATAGTAATAATCTGCAGCTTTTCTGGAGGCTTAGAATCATCAAGGTTGGAAGAGACCTTTAAACTCATGGCTGGGCAGGGACCTGTCTCCATTCCTCTGATCTCCAAGGGCCCCTCCTGTCTGGTGCAGAGAGGGGAGAGGATCCTCTACCTCCAGAGGGGCATTTGCCTGGTACATTTACTTCAGGGCAGGTAGAGAGCAGCTCCACCAATGTCTTCCTCAGACTCCCTAATGGCAACTTCTCCAGCACTGCACAAACCAAGGAGCTCTGAGGGTTGCACTGAGTGAGTGACTGTGCTGGTTTGGTTCTGCTTTTGGTTTTCTTAAGTCACTATTTTGGAAGTCACTGATTAGGTTGGGGTTTTTTTTTGTTATATTTAGCACAAAATATGTTTGTCATGCAATTGAAAAAGTCAGAGAACTGAGAGCTTCTGAGTGAACCTCAGTTTAACTTCATAAAGCTTTCCTCTTAACCTTCTAATAGGAAGCAATGCAAACCCTGAAAGTTGCTTTCAAACATAGGATTTAAAGGTGGTTTGGTGTACCTATAGCAATAAACAGTCACACATATAAGGAAGTGACTGTTACTCTATCCTAGTACAAGGTTCCCTGCCCATGGCAGGGCTTGGAACTAGATGAGCTTTAAGGTCCCTTCCAACCCAAACCAATCTATGACTCTATGATGATTCTATTGCTGCATATAAAAGATGGAAAACATGTAATTTTCCCAAGTGTGTATTGCATTATGGTTTTATCTGACAAGGTGTAATCCATGAACAAAGTGTCTTCCACATTGCGCAAGCCAGGGGAGCATTTTTCTCACTGCAGGAGAGACGTGAAGGGGCTGGAGGTGTCCAGGGCAGGGGACGGAGCTGGGGAAGGGTGTGCAGAGTCAGTCCTGGGAGCAGTGGCTGAGGGAGCTGTGGAGGCTCAGCCTGGGGAACAGGAGGCTCAGGGAGAACTCATTGCTCTCTGCAGCTCCTGCCAGGAGGTGCAGCCAGGTGGGTTCAGGCTCTGCTCCCAGGGAACAAGGGAGAGGACCAGAGGAAACACCTCAAGCTGTGCCAGGAGAGGGTCAGGTTGGCCATCAGGAGGAATTTCTCCATGGAAAGGGCTGTCAGGCACTGGAATGTGCTGCCCAGGGAGGTGGTGGAGTCACCATCCCTGGAGGTATTCAAGAAAGAACTGGACATGGCACTTAGTTCTCTGGTCTAGCTGACAAGGTGGTGATGGGTCACAGGTTGGACTTGATGGTCTTGGAGGTCTTTTCCAAGCTCAGTGATTCTGTGATTTTCTTCACAGAATCATGGAATCATAGAATGGTTTGGGTTGGAAGGACCTTAAAGATTATCCAGTTCCAACCCCTGCCATGGACTAGGAACCTTCCAGTAGCCCAGGTTGTTCCAAGTTTCTTCAGTGAAGGTCTCTTTAGAGAGAGTCTGATAAGAGAGAGTTCAAAGGCCTAAATTAGCCTTGAATTGGGCTAAGAAATAGAGCTGAGTTTAGCTGACTCAGACCTGCATCAACCTTTATTGTTGAGTTTTACACCTCTTGTTTAGGGAGTTGTTTGTTGTATCACACAACACTTGGGGAAGTAGTTGCAACCCAAAGTGAACTGACTGTTGTCCAGTAAACACACTCAGACCTGTTCTGGAGTGGAAGCTCCAAGTTCACCTCATTTGTGAACTTTACAAAGAACTGAAAATAGGGGCCAAAACCCATTCCTAATTGGCTGGACAGAACGTGAATGAATGTGCAGTTTGGGATGTGTGAGGTGCATGACTCAGTCAAACATCAATTCTACTTTCTGCTGACAGCAAGATTTATGCTCGAGGAAGTTCAATGTGTTACGAACTGAACCTTTCAAAGTCCACAATTCTGCTGATAAGTTAAAAAGAAAGCATAAATGTTCATTATTCTCTTGCCTATAAAGAAAACATTTCTGGAGCTGTTGTAAGATGTATTTTTGACTTGCTGGTTTGAAAATCTGCACAGCCTTCCCCCAAAATACTCAGTGAAACACAAGATTTAGAAGTTTCTTTTCCTTATTACAACACTTTATGGGGAATAAATAGTCCTTAGTTCCTGCTACATAATTCGTCCCAATTTGCCATGGCAAGACCTGTAACCCTGTAATACACATCTCTTTATGCAGTGATTTGTCATGTTGTTCCTTGTCAAGATAAATGGTGGTGGTAGCATTCTCAGAGCACTGAAATCAATGCTGCAGAAATCAAATTTTGATTTGATTTAGCTAGGTTTAAACCATTTTGATAATTAATAAATAAGCCTTGCCCAAACGGAGTTTGGTGAGCAGAGCTGACTGTGATTCCTAAAAAATTACCACTCTCCCCACAAAGTTCATCTGTCAGGGTGGTGGGTGAGGAGTTCATGGAAGGTTTTCACACAGTTTGTCAAAAAACCTAAACTAAAGTGTATAGTTTATGATTAAAAAAAACCATCTTGAATGGGTTCTGAGGAGGGTTAAGGAAAAAACAAGTTCTCCATATAAATCTCTGCATATAACACCTATCATTTCCTTTTGTTGCACACTATAAAATAACAAAAATAAGATCTGTAACATGTCTTCTCACTGACACCAGGGCTTAACCTGTGACAACAAAGCATGGAAGCTAGATGGGGATTTTTTTCCTGACCTTGAAGGTCCAGGAGCTCAAGTCCCTCACTGACCTTCAGCTATGCTCAGTAAATGTAACCATGTTTTCCTCATGCTTTTGGCAAATCATTACAGTTTGGCTTCTCAATGAAGTGTGAATCCTCCTCTGTCACCGTCACCTGCCGTTGGCTATTATTACTGAAGTTCCAATGTAATGGGGTAGTGCAGATTCCTTGTGGCTTTCTGGGGAAGAAGCTGATGAAGGACTTTGGTTTTTGTACAGAAATGTGTTTACTTCCTCAGCATTGTAGCCATAATTCTCTCCCACATGTCCTGTGGCTGTACACGACGAAGTTTGAAACGTGCCATGTTTGGCTAACACGTGGTGATAATTTAGGAGCACGAAGGGAACTTGTCCAGAGGGTCTCACATCCATCACCCGGTCGCTCTCGGGGTCGTGGTCGAGCTTCACAGTCATCCTCTCATCGCTGTCCAGGTCATCTAGATTTGTAGCGTGGTGGGTAATGTGCCCATACTTGGGTTCTTTCATACAAATCCTTCTCGTTTGCTCATACACTGAGGGCATTGGCAGGAGGTGACTTAGTTGTCCTATAGCTTTGGACTGGAAACATTCCGACTTAGGCAGCAAGGAGTTAGCAATTGAGTTTGAGAAAGGACTTTCATTAATGCTCATTTTTTCTTGTAGGTCTCTGTTGAAAGCTAACTTGTTTTCTTCTTTAATGAGGTGGGGAGGGGGTTGAAGCCTGGGTTCTATCTTGTTGTGTTTCATGATGCTGGAATCATAGAGCTCTTCCTTGTACCTGCTGCCTGCCACGGGCACGGTGCAGCTCGGGAAGTTGTCGGGCAGAGCATCTTGGCTGTATCTTCTGTTGGCTATGGGAACTTGCAGGAAAGAGAAAACAGATTAATTACTGACAATGAGCTCCTGTAAGAGTTATACTCTTAACACTTCGTGACTGAACTTTAATACCCATTTGGTTTGGGCCAGATCCAGGTCCCACTAAAGGCAGAATCACAGACTTTGGAGCTGGAAGAGACCCACAAGGATCATCCAGTCCAACTCTTGGCCCTGCACAGGACATCCCCAACAATCTCATCAGGTACCTTTACCAAGACATTCCCATTTGCCTCAGTGAGTTTGGATAAGTCTCTTTAAGACAATGCTGAGAAGTTAAAATGAAACCCAAGTTCTTCAGAAGGACCAAGAGAGTTAAACCATTCTGGAACCAGTCAAACCATTTGTTTATTTGACTGAATACTTATAAGTCACAGACAATATGAATATAGTTAAATCAGGGAAATCAAACCAAAGGAATACTTGGAAATGTGTCCTGCTACCAAAAACCTGAAGTAAACTCTTTACGGAGATTGATCACATGATTTACGCAAGGCTGGAGAACATTATTACTTACCAGTGATTCCATGATTAATGTGAAACAGAATTTATTCTTCCTGTGACTGTGGAAGTGCTTTGGACACTTGTCCTTGTAAGGAGAAATCCAATCATGATGTCTATTTTTGGTATATGTAGTGTCTAGGCTGATATTAGACAGTGGTTTAGGTTGGATATTAGGAAGAGATTTTTTAGGGAGAGAGTGCTCAGGCATTGGAATGTGCTGCCCAGGGAGGTGGTGGATTCACCATCCCTGGAGGTTTTCAAGCTGAGACTGGATGTGGCACTTAGTGCCATGGTCTAGTGACCACAGTAGGGTTGGACTTGATGATCTTGGAGCTCTTTTCCAACCCATTTGATTCTATGATTATCTGATTCGAATTACAAATGGTAAAATCAAAAAGCCTCTGGTTTACTCCTGTGCAGTGTGTGGCTAATAATTTTTTTTCACTCTCCTGTGACCAGTTTGGCAGTTAAACTCCTCCAAGGCATATTGGAAAGTTTTATATTAAGGTTAAATGAGCAAATTTCTCAAGGTAAACCTAAACTCTATTTTGTGTTACGTTCATTGAAAGCTCTGGACAACCTAAGTGCCTTTTCTAAAAGGGATTTTCTGTTTTTCTAACCATTTTATTCAGCATCTTAAAAGTTTTGGAGTTCCCCTGTAGTGGTTGCTGAGGTAACTGTACCTGCTAATCATTAATATTCCCTGTGCTGTAGTAGACTGGCAAAACCTTCATGTCCAGCAGAGGAAGCAGAAATAGCTCAATTGTAACTTTCTTTTTTTCACATGCAGAGCTCCATTAATTTCAGAGGGAGTTGCACCACATAATTAACACCAGAATGTAAACAGGAATCTGGTTCCAATTTCTTCTTGATCAACCCACCACCCTCCTAGAAACAAGAACCTTTCAAGTTATTCCTCTTCACTTCCATGTATGTGTTTTGTAACAACAAGTATGGGCAGCCCTGAGTAAACCGAAGTCTCACCAGCCCTTTTAGATCACAAATCAAACCAGGGGTTCAGCCATGTGCTAAGTGCAGCATGGAAATGTTGCCAGTGTAATTACACTACTCTAATTTTAACTCCAGGTTTGGTATTTTTACTGTGAGATAAGTAGAGATGCTACTGACAACTAATGTGGTTTAACTAATCTTCCTTTCTGGTTCTAAGACATCCACAGGAGCAATGGGTTGTCCTCTGAAGCAGAGAGTATTGCCACTCTATGGCTCTTCTCTCATCTCTGAACAGACAAGTCCTTTCCCACTTCTACATCCCACACACATAACAAGATGAAGCATCACAGCAATGTTAGCCTCTGTCTTATCTTCATTTCTGCAATCTCAGCCCCTCCTTGGCTGATGGCTCCATTTTTGGCACCAAGGAGTGATTTGCATACTTGGGAAATTTGCAGGATGTTATCCATTTTGTTCTGTCCTGTTTCGCAAACGTGGTTTTCATATCTTTTGTTGAGGAAGAAGGTAAGGGCCTGGTTGATGGTTTGCAGCCTTCCACTGAACTTGTCAGCACTTCTGTGGAGTCAGATCAGAGAGCTCAGCAAGTCAGGCACTGAGCTCTGCTCTCCGTGACAGGGACAGGATGAGGGAACAGCTGGAGCTGTGTCAGGGGGGGGTTAGGGTGGAGGGAAGGGGAAGGTTCTTCCCCCAGAGGTGTTTGGGCACTGAACAGCTCCCCAGGGCAGTGGTCACAGCCCCAAGACTGACAGAGCTCCAGGAGGGTTTGGCCAATGCTCTCAGGCTCAGGGTGCATTGTTGGGGTGTCCTGGGCAGGGCCAAGAGTTGGACACAATGATCCTTCTGGATGCCTTCCTACCCAGGACATTCTATGGTTCTGTTCTATGATTCTAAGTCATGTTTGCAGAGCAACAGAGCACTGGCACTTCTGTCTGCTCACATTCAGAAGAGTGACTCAAATCTGGTTTTCTCTTCCTTTGCAGACAAAAGCCTGAGGATGCCCTGGGACATCCTGGGACTCCTCCACCAAGGAGTCCCAAATTACTCCTTGGTGTCCATGAAAAAGACATAGTTTAGATTAGCTCCATATCTGTGCTGTGCCCTGGTCTGAACCCTAATTGCAAATCATCCGAGGCATGGGCTGATGTTCTCCATCATTCTCCCTCCAAAAGCAATGGTGAGACAACAAGACCTTCAGGACCTCTTTGTCTGTAGTGGAAAACCCTTTGCAAGGATGTAATTTATTTCTTCCAAGAGACACGGGCTAATCCTGAGGAGTTGCTTGGGGAGAGGAAGAGAGCCCAGAGCTTTTTCATGGGTTTTCTCAGTATTCTTCCTCATTTATTGAGTTTTGGCATGATTAGTGGCACTAAGCTTCACACAGACAGTACAGACTGGCCAACAGCCCAACTGAAAGAGCAGTGGGTACTGTGGTACCCACAGTAGCAATTTACCCATTTGAGTGTACAAAGGAAACTTCCCTGACTAAGAATGTGGTTGTCTTCACTGAAATGAGTTTCTATTCTGATGACTAGGCCAGCTGGAAAAAAGTGGAAGAAGCTTCAAAACCAGATTCTGAGGCAGAAACATCTGATTTGCAGGCAGTTGTATCTGCTACGTGCTTTTTCACGGCTTTGATGGCTTGGCATGATCATCTTCAAATCTCTGATCTCTCCAAAAGAAGCTATTTTCCATGGAGAAAAATGTCTTTGGCCTAGGGAGTTTTTGGCAGATGCTTCCATGGATGTGATGTGGAATAGCCCTTGCATCCAACCCGGTTGCCAGATGTCATATTTGGCATTGCCTTTGGATCGAAGATAATGATGCTAAGCAGATCCTCCCTGCTTTGAAGCTTTCTGGCTGTCAGTTTTGCAGTTGAACCACTGGAAAAAGCAGCAGTTTGACAACGTAAAGGAAGATCAGATGCCCCTTGCGACTCACAGCAAGAAGTCACTTCCAAAGGCTCAGATTTCACTTCTGCCACAAGCTCAGCAGAAGTACAACAGCGCTAACTCGGCTTCAGGAGGAAACAGTCTGGAACTGTGAGATATAAACCCTTTTTGCAGTGGCTCTGGTTTTCTTTCCCCTCTTATAACACTATGTGTCAAGCCGTGATCTTCAACCAGGCCCAAGTTTGACCATGTTCTTTTTTCCCTCCTAAATAGTACAACTGTGTGTGTTTTTGCAGAGAATGGATTGTACCAAGCCACTTTTTATCAAATGCCCAATAAATAGCTGGTAAAATACATCTGTCCTCAAAACAGAGCCCACATATTCCAACTCAGTCAACACAACCGAGTAGAAGTGCAACCTGCAGTAAGAGCTGCTGCATCACAACTCCCTTGTCCTCCTCATGAGGCAGTGGTGATGTGTGATGAGACTGAAGAATACCAGCAGCTGCTTGCAGGGTTTGTGTTGGGATTTTTTTCACCCTGACATATTTAACAGTGTTCCTGTGGAATTCTAATGACTGGATGTATTTACTAGGAGCTCTCTGCCCACATCAACGACATCAATAATGGCATGAGCCAGGCCAAGGTGCCCTTGGCCTCCTTGGCCACCTGTGCACACTGTTGGCTTGAGCTGTGCTGTGCCACCAGCACTGCCAAGTCCTTTGGGACCAACACCTCTGTCCCACTCCTCCCCAGTCTGGAGCTGCATGGGCTGTCCTAATCAAGTGCTGATGGGATTGGGAAGAAGAACCAACATGTGAACACTGTAAACACAGTGGCTGTTACACTTCTCTGCCTCTGATTATCTGTTGTTTCCTAAACATCTTGTAATTCCTCTTTTCAACCTGCAAATACAAATCTTCCCTAGACACTCCCAAAGCTTAACTTTTCAGCTTTTTGAAGTGACACCCACCTTCATAACTCTGTGCAAGATTATGTCTGATGATGTTCACTGGCTGATCAGGAAGGTTTTTGGATGGTGACTGGCTGTTGGGTACCAAAGAGTTGGCATAATGCCACTGGCACTCTCCATTTGTCTGCAGCGTGCTCAGGAAAAAACGTGCCACTTCACAAGGTGCTCCTTGAGACTGCCCAAACTTTGCAGGCAGCATTTGTTTTTTGCCACTGAAGACATGAGAATCTACGGGGAAGTGTCCATAATGGTAGGAGAAGGGCAGGCTGTATGGTGGGGCATACAAAAGTTCACTGCTTTCTGAATGGAAGTTCTGTTCCTGGATGGTGGCTGCGTTCACGGCAGGGCTGGATCGCCAGTTCCCCACCTGGCTGCATTCCAGTTTGTCTGTTTGGAATGAGCTGTATTGCTAGGGGAAAGAGAGGAAAAAAAAGAGGGGAAGAGAGTTAAATGAGCAATATTTATATGAAACCAAATAACATATCGTACAGGCAGCCAGAGCTGAGCCTCCTTCCACTGGATCTCACTGGATCCTTACCTGTTGTGGGTAAGGAGTTGTTCTGAGCTTTGCCTTCATTTTATTACTTTTGGGTTTCACGATTTTCCTTGTTTCCTGCGAGGTAGGTACTGAGTTTCTGCATGAAAACTGTGACTTGGAAATGGTAACCTGGTCCAGCGACAACTGAAGTTCCTTGTACTCAATATCTCTGCAAGAGAAGAGCCCAATAAACTACACTCTCAAGCATACCAGATAAATCAAAAATTGCTCCTGTGAAAACACGTTAGCTTTCACAATGGTTTAATTTTCCCTCTTCCAAGGTTTTCACTGAGTCTGGGGGTGTCAGCAGGCAGGGACTCCTATGGTCTGACCCCATCTCTATGCCAGTTTATCCCAATGTTCCACTGAGAACCACATTAGCATCTTTGTATAGTGTCCCCAGCTCTGTGAACCTAAGCTGTGCCATTTCCCTCAACCACCCTTGGCCTTGGAATTATAGCCTTATCAGCTGGTGGAAAGACACAGATCAATTCGTCTGCTGCCTGATCAATCAGGAATTTGGCTCTGCCCTGGCTCTCACAGTCAGCCCTAAGTAAAGGAAAAGGAGCAACATTCCTCCCCTGACAGCACTGTGTGCTTGTAACTAGAGCCCATGAGCTCCAATGTTGTTCTTCTGATCACAGAAACATCAAGGCTGGAAGAGACCTGCAAGCTCATCCAGTCCCCTCATTACCCCCAAACCATGTCCCCAAGGGTCACATCCAGATACCTCTGGGAAACTCCCAGAGACAGTGACTCCACTACCTCCCTGGGCAGCTCATCCCAATGTCTGAACACTCTGGCAGGGAAATATTTTCTTCTAATATCTAGTCTGAACCTCCTTTGGTGCAACTTGAGGCCATTTCCTCTCATTCTTTCACTTGGGACATGGCAAAGTGATCAGCCCACACCTCACTGCAACCTCCTGGCAGGAGTTGTGGAGAGCAGTGAGGTCCCACTAAGCCTCCTCTTCTCCAAACTGAACACCCCCAGAGCTCCCTCAGCCACTCCTCATAGGACATGGTTTCTAGTCCTTTCCCCAGCTCCATTGCCCTTCCCTGAACACAATGAGGACATATATAATAATGAGGAATATCATCTCATTTTAGCTCAACGCTGCTGAAGACACGAAGAGAGAAAAGTGGCTGTAACTTGCAGGCCCAGAGTGATACTGGACAACACAAGAAAACCAAAAGGCTTTAAGGATTGAATTAGCAAGGAATCGATCCCTGATAACCCAGAATGGTACAAAGTGTTTGGACTTACGTAAGGACATAATTGACACTCACTATGCAGTGAGGCCGTGACGAACGGCTGTTATGCACAATGGTGGCATAGCTCTGCACCCAGACCCAACCTCCTTGCTTGGACAGCAGGCGGTAGTACTTGGTGGTGACTTGGCCTTTCACCAGCACTGTGAATACAACAAAAACAGCATCTCTCACATTCCATCGACCTCTGAGCACTTCTGGAGAGATTCATTTGCAAGGCATAAACTTGTCTTCCTCATTCCCCTCCCTGAAACCTTCTCCTCCCACCAAACTTTAAATAGCTCCTTGTAAAGGTATCTGTCCTGTCCCTTGACACAGATTCACAAAGTCTCATTACAGAATCACAGAATATTCAGTGTGTTTGGAGTGTTTGGCCAGTGCTGTCAGGGATGTGGTGCATTGCTGGGGTGTCCTGGGCAGGGCCTGGAGTTGGACTGGTGATCCTTGTGGGTCCCTTCCAACTCAGGATACTCTGTGATTCAATGATCTTGCAGGACATGCAAACCCCCATCCTCACTGACACCAAGCTACTACTATTTAGGGTTTGAAGCCTCTCTTAGATATCAGCTTTTTGCCTCATCCTTGCTGGTGTCCTTTTCCACTCCTTCATTTCTACATGGAATGCCCCATGGGGTGGAGGTGTGCAGATGTGCATTTAAGAAAATCATGAGGAGTGTGTGGGCAAGTTTGAAAACACATCTACAAAATAGATGTGTACTCAAAGTGCAATATATCACTCCAAGTACAGGTCAGATGCCAAATAAGTCTGTGCTGAAAGTATTTGTTAATAATCAGGCACAAGACATGAATTCACTATTTCTTAGTGTTCTATAAATGTGGCTGCTCTGTAGTTGTGGACTCCCCATCCCTGGGAGTGTTCCAGGCCAGGTTGGATGGGGCTTGGGCTGGTGGGAGGTGTCCCTGCCCCTGGCAGGGGTTGGAGATGAATGATCTTTAAGGCCCTTCAATGCAAACCGTTCTGGGATTCTATAATTTTGTGAATCATTCTACAATCCAAATGGTCCAGTTCCAGGAAATGATGCTTACACTGTCGCCTAGACCATGTAACATATATTTTGGAATGTGGTCCAAGCTTTTCAGAACTGTGTCTTTGTTCTGGTTTAATGAGCACATTTTCCTTGAGTCCAAAATGCCTTTCTACTCAGTCTTCTGAAAGAGAAATTGATGCTGTCATGGATCACTAGGTAGAACAAAGTTCTTTCCTGTGCTTTGAGACTAGTTTTGGCTTTCTTTCCCTCTCACTGACTTTTTTGTAAATTCCTCTTTTAGCTCTGCACTTAAGACAGTATTTTAAAAGATGTGAAAACCACTGAGGGCTGCAGTGTTCAGCTTTCCTTCCTAATTACATGGATAAACCAATATTCCTCCTGGGATGGGGGAGGACTCCATGTCTCCTGCATTTTTAGCCATCTGGGGCAAGCCTGAGCTTGGCTAGGGGACAACAATTGCACTTCCGACACAGTGAGTGAGGTCAGTTTGCATTTGGCTCCGAGTTAAATTGCCCTATTTGATGCTGAATTGGAAACCTCAGAAATGGGAGTGAGGTAAATCCACTACCAAGATAATCTGTGCAGGCTCAGACTTCTTGGTGGCCTCTGCTGCAATCCAACGGGGAGGATTCCGTGGCTTTAGCCTTGGCTCTGGGGTGTGCCATTTGTGACTGGGTGTTCCACCGTTGTGGTTCCCTCCTGCTCTCTCAGGCAAGCTGAAAAAGGCACTGGGCTGGCTGGGCTGGTCCTGCTATCTGTCTTAGATGGCTATTTTAAATGGTTCCATCAGGCTCAGGGACATGTGGCTGGGAGTTCCCAGCCTGCACTTAAGGATCCCACTAAGAGAAATGGACTTCTTGGTTCTACACTGGCAGCAGTTCCTGTTTTAGCTTCCCTGGTGTGTCATCTCTCCAGCCCTTGGGCAGTGTGGTCAGGGGACCAGCAGACTCTACAGCTCTTCTGACCTCTTAAAATCTAGCACAGCTCTGCCACAAGATTTGATTGCTGGGGGAGTAAGGGTAGACCCAAGGCCAGAGACAGTGTAAACTGTGCTCTGCTACAAGTTCTGTAAATACACAGATGGATTTCCAGGAAGCAGAAGAACAGTTTGGGGATGACATGGGTTTGTTCCTAATGGCAGTGGTCACAGTCCCAAGCCTGACAGAGCTCAAGGAGTGTTTGGCCAATGCTCTCAGGCAGAGGATGGATTGTTGGGGTGTTCTGGGCAGGGCAGGAGTTGGACTAGATGACCCTCAGGGGTCCCTTCCAACTGTGATTGTTCTGTGATACCACTAAGAGAAATGGACTTTGTGGTTCCACACTGGCAGCAGTTCCTGTTTTAGCTTCCCTGGTGTGTCATCTCTCCAGCCCTTGGGTGGTGTGGTCAGGGGACAGTGCCCAGCAGACTCTACAGTTCTTCTGACCTCTTTCTAGTGCAGCTCTGTCACAAGGTTTGATAGCTGGGGAAGCCAGGGTAGACCTAACACAAGAGACACTGTAAATTTTGCTCTACTCTAAGTTCTGTATAACTCTAAGTTCTATATAACTCTATAGAAGCTCTATACTAAGTTCTATAAACACACAAGTTGACTTCCAGGAAGCAGGAGAACAGTTTGGTGATGACATGGGTTTGTTCCCCAGAGAAGTGATCATGGCCCCAAGGCTGACAATGCTCCAGGAGGGTTTGGCCAATGCTCTCAGGCACAGGGTGCAGTGTTGGGGTGTCCTGGGCAGGGCCAAGAGTTGGACTGATGATCCTTGTGAGTCCCTTCCAACTCCAAATATTCTGTGGTTGTGTGACATCAGTTGGGGCCTGGTCTGGCCTTGCCAAGGCACAGAGATGTTCAAGTGTATGTGGGAGGAGCAATGATGTAACAACACATAGGAATGCACAGAATCCCCCTCATGGAGACAAGGGTGGAAATTATTTCCCTGAGAAAGAGATTTTGTGTGTGCTGGAACAGCCTCTCTATCCTGTGATTTAGAAGGCAAGATCCTTAGGCAGGGACTCATGATTTGTGTGGCCACGTTTGCCTGGTTGCAGAGCAAACACTGTGTTCTAATGGTGCTGTAGAAACAAACACCACCAGTTCAAACTCCAGAAGCCTTTTCATGTAGCTGGAAGCTAATCAAATGTTTAAAGCAGGAAACACTGTTTGCTGCCAGCACACCTTGGGCAAATATTCACATCTACATTTTCCTCATGGCTTGATGGTCTTGTTACATCCCTTCTAGCTTGTTCTTCTCACTTTGTTTTACTCTCTGTGCTGCCTAACCTAGTTCAGTTGCCTCAGGTCTTCTGTTTGGGAATCTTTTCTCTCTGTGCAGAAGCAAATGGTTATCCTGGTTTAGGGTTACCTTTTTTTTTTGTTGTTGTATTTCTTAATATCCTTATTAGGTGTAAGATGTTTCACTTTGGATTTCTTCATCAGATGACACTTCATCAGCAGATTGCTTTATAGAATTGGTACCTCAGACCTGCCAACCTTGTACTGTTCATGTTCCTCAGACATTTACTGATGGATGGTGGGAGAACTCTAACAGTGCTCCCAGGAGGGAGTTTGTACACTTTACATCTGGTTTAATAATTCCTAGTACTTGGTATTCCAACCATGATTCTGCACTCTTGCCCAAGTATTAGTCATTATTTTTCTGCTTCTTGGGATTGATTTGCTTTGAAACTTTCATAAATTGCTCTGCATATGCCTCACATTTTTCTTCTGGTTTTAAACTTGGCAATAATTTATCTTTAATTTACGGAACTGCTCTTAGTGTTCTGTTTAGTTGAGGTCTTTTTTTTCTTGTGGGAGGATGTGGTGGTGGTGGTGGGTAATTCAGTCAACATGATTTGTCTCTTGATTGAAAGCTCCAGTCACACATAGATCAAACTGGCAGCCAAAGTCACACAGAATTATCCATCATGTTGCTCTGAAATGGAAAACTCTTTTCCAGAGTTGATTGTGGCTGTAGTGGTATCATCTCCCTGCTGGTTGACACAGGAATTTCAACTAGTGTTGTGAAAATAATAAGTGATATTTTGTCCAGGTCAACAGCCACATCCAGGTGTTAACACGACAAAGAGGATGCCCCAACAGGACATTACTCTGTACCTTGGTCATAGGATGGTAGGAGGTTGGAATGGACCTTAGGGATCATCTAGTCCCAGTCTCCCCATTCTAGTTTTTAGTTTTTAATGGCCCAGAGTATTCCACACTGTTTGGGGGAATATGAACCTGCTATAAGGATCAGCTTTTGCTTTCCCAGGGGTAGTACAACTTGCCATCCACAGAATCCACCACTGACTTGCCAAACACAGCTACAACCTCCTTTATAACCCAGTTCCTCAGGAGCAGCACATATTAATGTCTAGAATTGCCTACTTGCTCCTTCAGGAAGCCTAAAAGAAGGATTTGACTCTGGCTGCTTCCAGCCTACAGGAGCAATCTGGAAAAAAAATTCACTGACATTGGTTTTTGGACATCATATTTGCATCGTATGAGTTGTGGCAGAGGGAGCCAAATCCAGAGTTCAGCTATTCCCTCAATTTGCTTTTCAAATTAATGTGCTACTGGATGAACTACTTCCCAGATCCAGATGTTTGAAGATATGATTAGTGTCTCTGTTGCAAAATGGGAAATTATTAAATGTGTATTTTTTTTTCCCCCTAACAATCCATTCTCCAAACCTCATCCACATGCTATTGATGGATGTTCCTCTAAGGATTTTTGGGTTTGCATTCACTTCAAACACAGGATGATTATTACTAACATATTTCAGAGGAATGAGGAGCTGTTGCCTAGTTCTTATTTTAACAACAGAGGCTAGGAAAGTTCAGATTCTGCTCTCTACCTCACTCACTTGCTCTTTTGGTGATTTTTTTCCCTTCAACCATCCAGAACCAACTCCAAATTTTCAAAAGAGCCTAAATCCCCTAAGTACAAAGATAAAATTGACCAGGTAGGGGTTTTTTTCAGAGCATGGGATTTGGATTACCTAGCTTATTTGCAGAATTAATAGTTTCCTTCAGTGGTAGCCAAACGTTTTGGAAAATCTATGTCCAGACAAGATTTGGGAAGTTTTTTTCTGCTTTCCAGCATACAAGTTATTGTCTGCAGAACTTCTCACTCTACTTCATGTATTTCGTAGAATCACAGAATGGTTTGGATTGGACAGGATCTTAAAGATCATCCACTGCC